CCAAAGTTTGTAGAAAGGTTGAGTTTTTATTTATTTATTGTTATATGTTTTTCTTCCTCCCTCTCCCTCAATCCATTTTGTAATGCATCTCTTGTTGGTATTTCTGTTTCCAACTTTTTGAGAAAGCACCAAACCAACTTCCATCGTGGCTGTACCAGTTTACATTCTCACCAATAGTGAATAAGAGGTCCATATCTCTACAGCCTTGCCAACATTTGTTTTTGCTGACTCATTTGCACTTTTGCTATTGTTGCTGGGGTAAGATGATATTTCATAGTTGTTTTGATTTGCATGTCTCTGAGAACTAGGGATTTGGAACATTTCTTCATATGTTTGCCTTCTGAATTTCTTGTTTGGTGAAGTGTTAATTCATATCTTGTGCCCATTTTGCGATTGGGTTGTTTACCTATTCTTGTTCAGGTGCTGAAGTATTCTATACATTTTAGATATGAGTTCCTTATCAGGTATGTCATTGCAAAATATTTTTCCCAGTCTCTACATATTTTTTTTTACCCTGTTGGAGTTTTTTCTTGGTTTGTTTTGTTTTGTTTTGTTTTGTTTTTTTATGTGCAAAGGATTTGACTGTCCCGTTTATCTATTTTATTCTCTCCTGGTTATAGGTTTTCATAATCTTTGTTAATGCTGTAGATTAGGCACTCTAGAGTTGTTTCTAGCTCTTCTCTGATGAATTTTATTGTCTTTGATTTTACTCCTAGGTCTCTGATCTACCTTGAGTTGGTTTTTGCATAAAGTATGAGGTGTGGGTCTTGTTTAAATATTCTGCAGATGCAACACCATTTATTAAAGTGACTTTTTCCTCCCGACACCATTTGCTAAAGAGGCTTATGTTTATCCAGTTAACTGATTTCATCTCCTTGTCAAAAAATCAGTTCAACATAGGTATATGGCCTGATTTCTGGTTCTCAGTTCTATTCCATTAATCTATGTTTCTCTCACTGTACCATGCTGTCTTGACCACCATGGTTGGGTAGTAGGATTTGACATCAGAGAGTATGATGCTTCCTACCTTGTTTCTCTTGGTTGAAAAAATCATACTTTGCTTATTCAAGATCTCTTTCCATTCAAGACAAAACTGGAAATTGTCTCTTCCACCTTGTTAAAGAATGGAATTAGTATTTGTATTGAGATTACTTTGAACTTGTAGATTGCCTTTGGTAGAATTGTTATTTCACTATATTGTCTTCCTATTCATGAGCATGTATATTTCTCCATTTCTTTAGGTCTCTTTATTTCTCACAAGTAATGTTTTGTAATTTTCTTTGTATAGATCATTTGTGTCTTGTTATGTCTGTTGTCTGTTCCTAAGCATTTCATCTTATTGTTAACTATTGTAATTAATATTGTGTTTTCTAGTTCTACTTCCGTATTATCTTTGATACTGTAGGAACAGATGTCTGAAATAAATGTAATTAATTCAACTTTTTAATGCTTATTGTGTGTCTAGTATGTTTTCTCAGTGACGTCAGTCTGGAGACTAAGGTGTGTCTGATGCAGAACATAGTTTTTGCAGTTGCTATGCATCAGAAAGCTGGACAATGATGGGATGATAGAAGGAAAACTGGTGCCTTTGAGCTGTGGTGTTGGAGAAGAATATTGAGCACATCATGTACTGGTAGGAAAACAAACAGGTTTGTCCTAGAGAGGGTGAAACCAGGCTGCATCTTAGAGGCAAGGACTCTGAAACTTCCTCTGACATATTTTGGACATGTTGCAAGAAGACATCAATCCTTGGGAGGTACATCATGCTTGGGAGGATGGCGAGATAGCATAAGAGAGGAAGACTCTTGATGAGGTGGATTGATTCAGCAGTCACTGGGGTGGTGGGGATAGGTGTGTCAGAGCCAATAAAGTTGGCACAGGACAGAGCAGGGCTTAGGACTGCTGTACATATAGGGTTGCTATGAGTCACAAGTAACTCGACAACACATAAAAATAACTTTAAACGTGGGCCTTTATGTTTAAAACAGTTATGTATGTGTATGTATGCATGTATGAATGATGGCCAGTCTCCTCCCATGGTGTCTACTGCCTCTGAAAATCCACTGGAGGGTCAGATATGGTGAGTCAGTTCTGACTCCTTGGTACTCAGTTTTCTTTAGTTGGAAATTTAGACAGCTAATATTATTCAGCTTATAACTGTGTGTTGCAATAAATAAACCAGTTCTTAATTTTATTCCTTCACAGAAACATTTTTTAAGTTCTTAGCCCTGCTGGTTCCATTAGATTATTCACTCACTATAAATAAAAGCAAATGTAGACACATAGACACAGGAGGAGATGACCTTTTATATATTTACTAGACATTCAGAAATGTTTAGTTATCATATCTTACTTCAAGTATATCTTTGTCCTTCACAAGTATAAAATCATAATTTTAAAAAGAGCACTTTTCCTCATGAGCTGGCTTATTTCATGGAGTTATTTCCCCCTTGCTTTTAAATTGGCCTGTCTAAGCACTTATATTTCTTGTCTGTATAGCAGGAAAAATATATAGTCTCAGATTGTATCAAAAGGGAGTGTATTCAGCATCTTTATTTAATTTTTGAAACCTCGTTTTATCTGATGTACTTGAACTATGGTTAGAGATTGGATCAGATGAAATCTCACCATTCCTGACTTAAATGGGAACTCATGCCTTTACTGGTTAATATAATGACAGTATTCATTCCCTGCCCAGTCACGTCTTCTAGTCTATATGTTGCACTTTGTTCCTTCAACTCAACTTTTTCCAGTTAGATTCTCTTTGTCATCAGCAGCCCCAGTTTTAAGCATTGCTTCCTATGGATTTCTGGCTGTATTGGGTAGGAGTCTGAACCTTTCTGTAGCTGGAAATCTTCCCCTTTCCAGGTAGTACTATTATAGGCAAAGATTAAGAGTAATAATTTATAAAAACATGTATTGGGGCACAACGGAGGAAGGGGTGAGCAGAGGGGTGAGAATGTCTAGGGGCAAAATCATGGGGTTGTACAATTTGGTGGTTGGAGGGAGGGAGTGAAGGAAATGGGAAAGACCCAGCAAGGACCTGAAAAGTCAGGGTAATGTTGGGCATAGTCCAATGGTGATTAAATATATAAAATGTAATGAGTGGTAATGAGTGCATGAAATATAATATGAATGAAGAATAGTGTGAAACACAATGTATACTTTGTAAGTATACAGTGTGAACTTTGTAAGCAAACCAATATAAAATATAAAATTTTGAAGCTCAACATCAAGAAAACAAAGATTCTCACCTCCGGGCTGATTGGCAGTGTCGTGATAAATGATGAAGAGGTTGAGATTGTTAACAGCTTCAGTTTCCTTGGCTCCACAGTCAACAGTCTTGGTTGGGACCAGCAGCTAGAAAATCAAAATCTGAATTTCAATGGGAAAGTCTGTGTCTGGGACCTCTCCAGAGTACTGAAGAACAACGATATCATTCTGGAGACTAATATAAGCTTAATCCAGGCCATAGTCTTCACAACTACTTGCTATGCATCAGAAAACTGGACATTGATTAGGGATGATAGCAGAATTTATGACTTTGAACTGTAGTGCTGGACAAGGGTATTGAATATACCATGGACTGATAGGAGAACAAACAGGTTTATCCTGGAGAGGGTTAAACCAGGCTGCTCCTTGAAGACAAGGATTTTGAAGTTTCATCTGACACAACTTGGACATGTTGCAAGAAGGGACCATTCCTTGGGGAGGGACATCATGCTTGGGATGGTGGAGGGACAGTGCAAGAGAGAAAGACCCTTGAAGATGAAGATGGGTTGACTCAGTGATTAGTGATTAGGGTAATAGGGGTAGGTGTGTCAGAGACAATAAGGTTGGAACAGGATAGAACAGGGTCCATAGCTGTTGAACACAGGGTCACTGTGAGTCATAAGCAACTTGATGGCACATAACAACAACAACAACAACAACAAGTAATTTATAGAGAACATATAAATGTCTTCAGCATGAATGGCATGCAACCAACTTTTCATTTTGCAATTTATGTAAACTTCAAAATTTAAATTTTATAACAACAATTTTAATATCATCCAGCATGTGTTTCAAACACCTAGTATATGAGCATCCCTGTGCCATGTGTGCTTTATTTGAGAGAGCTATTTCCTCTAAACAGGTCATTCCAAATGAAATAGAGATTTTCTGTGGCCTCGCCAGCCCTTTATTCTAAGCTGGGCAGCTGGGCTCTTCAACTCTTTTTCCCACTGCAACAGGCAGACCAGGTAATGTTCAGGTCTTGTTTTAAAATGGTCTTCTTCTCTTTGCACGAGATAAAAATTCCAATCCTTTTTTTCCACTTTCTTAAGAAATATTGTCAGAGATCAGATAAGAAGATGCCAAGACACTTGGAGATCTCCAAGGAACTACAAGCTAAATCAGAAGAGAAAAGTTTTATATATATATATATACACACACACACACACACACACATACATATACATATACATACATATATACATGTATACAACACACACACACACACACACATATATTACAGTCATAGACCAGCTAGTGTCAGTAAGCTATACAAAATTACAGTATTAGATTGATTTTCAGGTAATTATACTAAATATAGAAAATCAGTCATTTCAAATGTCAGTTCTTTAGGTTTCAGGGGTTTTTTTTGGTGGATTGGTTTTGGGTGTTTTCTTGTTTTTAAGGTAAAAAGTAAAGACAGATTTCTTGGAAAGTTATACCATGAGGGGTGAGACTTTCCTTCTTTGAAAGGAAATATGGAAGAGAGGCCAGTTCTTTAGGTTTTTAAAACAAATTATTGGGACCTGTTTTCCCACTGGTCAAAGCACTTTAGTCTGTGTATATGGTACCTTGGTGATGAACCTCACACCAATCTAACAGATGGTTGGTTATTGGCGGTGAGGATTTCTCAGGAGCTTCATTGGTTTCTGAACATTATTAACTGTTGGTTGTGTGGGTTTTGCCAAGGCTTCTTGAATCCTGAAAGTCCTGCTTTTGTCTTGCAGGATGCAGGCTGGCTGGTTGGCGTGAAGGAGTCTGACTGGCTTCAGTACCGAGACCTCTCCACCTACAAAGGCCTCTTCCCAGAGAACTTCACCCGACGCCTGGACTAGAACCCAAAGTACTGCAGAAAGTGTGTGGGTGCTGGGTCTTCAAGCCTTTGTGGAAACCTGAAGCATTCACTTTTTGGCTATTATATTATTAATGATTACAGACTGATGCCAGACAAAGCCTGAAGAGATATCTTGAAGGAGCATGTGTGCAAAACAATGTAAAAGAAAAAAAAATGTGAATTAAGGGGGGGGGGAAGTGTTCCCACATTATTGATAACAGGTTTGTTTGTGCTTTGTCCCAGCTGTGGTGACTCTTGTGCTTGATCCCCTCCCACCACTTCTAAATTAGCTTCCTCCAGACCAGAACCAGAACTTTCTGCACCAAGTGTGTGGTCTCTGGCAGCTGCTGTGCAGAAGATGTGATGAGTTACCCTCTAGTCTGATATGAGCTGAACCCTGGTGTGAGCACTTGCTCTCTCCCTCTCGCCCTTTCCAGTTTACTGCATTTGAAACTAAACTGCTGCAAAAGTTTTCAATGTTCTTTTCTGATGCAATGACATATGTATGTGTATATATGCACACAGTCACACAGGCTAGCTCCCATGGCTCCTGGACCTATGTGTATGCAGAAGGCTGCATAGGCATAGTTAAATTCTTCCTTTCTCATTGTAGCCTTTGCCTCTCAAGTGTCATTGATACATGCATCGCTCTTCTTCATTTGCCAGAGGGCAAAGCCAGCCATCCCATTGCCAAAACAGTCAACAGTATCTGTGTTTGTAATGTGCATTTCTCTGGATGAAATGACAAATAGTCAAGGCTGCACCCATTTGGAGAAAGCCGAGCCTGGTTATCTCAATAACCAGCTGCTGTGACTGGATGTAGACCAGTTGGGTTGAGCAATTAAGTAGTCTTAGCTTCTGTTTTTATGAGATTGACTAGATGGTGGAGATAGAAATCCACTCCCAGAAGAACACTATTTAAAAAAATACAAAGAAAAAGAAAAGCGCCTATATATTTCCACCTCCTTATATTTATGCAACTCCTCTTCACAGATTGTCCTAAAATAAGATAGGTGATATATGCTGTATCAACAAGTCATCTGTAACAATTATGTTTTCAGTGTTGTGTAATTCCAAATAAACCTTTGGTAATCTCCAAACACTAGCTTAATTCCTTCTTATGAGTCATTGTCTCAGAAACCTTGTTTCAGGCAGATGTTCTCCTTGAAGTTGTTATTTGTGCAGAAATATGCTTGTTTCTCTACCGGGGTGTCCTCTACAGCCCCACCTCCCTTTCCTTGCCTCTTCATGCAGTCATTGCTGGGCCACTCAGTGTCCCTTGAGATCCAGCAATTACTAGAGCACAAATAACAGCTGTGGATAGAGGGCACCTCAGAATGTGGCTGACGGCACTGAGTTGTGTCTATCTGAAAACCTCCCTGCCTTCATAATCAGCAATCTCTTCTCACATCAGCCTCATTTCTTGGTCACTTTTATTTTTTGGCATGTTTATGTTCATAGGTATATTAAAAAGAGATATATCAGATGAACTAGAAAAGGCAATTCATCAGGCCACTGTTTACAGAAGGTAAATCTTAAAGCAATAACCTTTCATTTGATTTAAGTTCTTTTCTGATACTGTAATTCAGTACACAGTGTAAGCTAATCAAAAAAGTACGTCACTAGACTCCTAAATGGTGGTCTATGTTTCTGATTCATGCTCTGGAGTCTCCTGGTGGATGAGTGATGTTGGTGTGTTAAGTGTTAGAACAAGAAGAGCTGTACTGACACAGAATTTCCCAATGACAAGTTTCCGGGGAGCTCAGTCATCAAAGACACCAGGTTCGTGCACCAGAACCACATGCTACTGCCCGGCAATGTAACCAGCAACTCAGCAAATAAAACACAGTAAGACTGTTTACAGAAACCCTGGTGTTGAAAGTATATTACAAGCCTATGTAAGCTAAGACTGATAATTAATTCTAATAATAACATGCACAAATCCTCTGCAAAGATAATTGCACAGCCGGCGCTACTCTGAAATTCTCACCACCCCTCCGCATTGTGGTGGTGATTCTGTTGTTCATTGAAGTTATAGCACATATCTGACCCTCCAGCACGTTTTCAGAGGCAGTAACTTGCACAGGAAGAGATTTTCCATTCTTGTTCAGTGGAGCAACTGGTGGATTCAGACCGTGTGCCTTCAAGTTGGCAAGGCAACTCTTTACCATTAGGCTAGGCCATCATAGTTAGATAGCAGCATGTCATTTCCAACTCATTAGCCTCCATTTGACATAATAGAACTTCCCCAGAGGGTTTCCTTGATTGCAAGTCTATACAAAACTGATTGCCAGGTATTTTTTTCTCCCACAGAGTCACTGGTAAATTTGAACCACTGGCCTCTTTGTTAGCAGCTGGAAGCTAGACTTTGTGCCACCATGTCTCCTCGTAGGGATTATCAAAATGCACAGTTTGGCAGGACATTGCCTTTATACCTGATAGACTTAACCCACTCCTATCACATTCCTACAAACAAATGTTTTAATGAACTAGTTTATCTTCATGGTCTCTAACCTTCATTTTGTGAAGGTTGGAAAGGGAGAGTTATTGGGAGTTCTTATAGACATCAAAAGAAAGTAATCAGATTTTTAATTTCAGGAATTTTCAAGATCCACAAGTCCTCAGTTACTGAAAATGAAGTAACAAAGGGAATAGGGATAGAAGTTTCTGCCAGAAATGAATGAATGAAATGGGCACTTTTAATTTTGATTGAGTTTTGGTTTTGAAGAATTCTTGAAATAGTGTTGATACTAGGGTATTAGTAAGTCTTCACTTACCTTTCACATTCCATTTCTCACCTACTCACAGTAATACATCACCTGACTGTATATTAGCAAATGTGTAGGTACATTTTATTCCCATTGGCTTTGGCCAAGAGACCATATTTGGTTCCCCTCTTCACACTGTAAGGCTCCCAGTGGAATGTGGAAATCAAAGTTATTCAAAAGAAAGAAAGGAGACCTGTAGTTCTTGTTAATCATAGACTTGTGAGTCATTCCACACAATTGTACATATAGTTGCTCATTTAAACCTGAGTGCTGTACAAAGGAAAATGCATTACTGATGTAAATTTTTCAGAATGCAAAACCAGAGCCCCTCAGCCTACAGTGCTTCATGCACAGTTTCACACTGTTGCAGTTGTGGCCTGCTCATTCTGACAAAGCTGGATCAGTTTGCAAGTAAGTCAGAGCACACACACCTCACATCTTGGGCTGCAGGAGGAAAATGGTACACTGTCAGTGTTCTAAGCCTTCGCTTAATACAGTTGCTCTGTAATCAGCTCCAACTCAGGCTGCCTCTTAAAATGGAACCGTGTTCTCTCTGATTTTCAGTGGCTGATTTTTGGGAAGTAGATCCATAGCCTCTGATCAGAGTCTTTTCTGGGTAGACTTAAACGTCCAGGCTGTTATTTTTTTATTTAGCATGTGAACATGTTAACTGTTTACACACAAGGCAAGACTGCCTTGCTTTTTCTAGGGCTCCATATCACATGAAGCAGCCAAGAGGTAAGCTGTTAGCACTTAGTCTGGCCTCATGGCCCATTCACTTGGTCTATTCAAGAAAAAGATTTTGGGGATGTATGCAAAAGCTATGGGAAAAAAATCAATGGATTTATGAGAATAAATGAACATAAGCATAAGACCTTATTCCACACAAATTGTGTGGCTGACCACCTTGACGCCTTAGAAGCAGACTGACTTGTCCAGAACCCTACAACTTTCTAAAGGAGCCCACACTGCCTTTTGGATTTACTTGGAAACCAGCTAAAAACCTTAGTAGCATGACGTGTCAGACTTCAGAGAGCTGGTTACTGATCACATATTTTCGCCATAAGATGGTGTAATGGCTCCCCAAAGCTTGTGACGTCCTCCTAAGACAGAATGGAGGTCAGTATTTGGTAGCTGTGTGGAGAAGATGATGACAGACTTCGTCTGGCAACGTTGGAACATTGAGGGCCCTTAGTTTCCATTAGTATCAGACCCTCGCCTGCCTTCTTCCTGCTTTACAATTATGCAGTCATGCATCCGAGGATGAAACTGGGTGTTTAGGCTTGTACTGTTCAGTGCACACAAGTGGAGTTTGATAGATTGCATTCATGGGTTGCTCATAATGTTGTTGTTGTTATTGTTATGTGCTGTTGAGTCGATTGCGACTCATAGTGACCCAATGTACAACAGCCCTAAACTCTGTTCTGTCCTGTGCCAATCTCACTGTCTCTGACACTCCCATCCTGATTACCCTAGTCACAGAATCAATCCACCTCCTAGAGGGCCTTCCCCTCCTGTGCTATCCCTCCACCCTCCCAACCATGATGTCCCTCTCCAAGGACTGGTCTCTCCTTATAACATGTCCAAAGTATGTCAGACGAAACCTCAGAATTATTGCCTCCAAGGAGCAGCCTGGTTTAACCCTCTCCAGGATGAATCTGTTTTCTTCGCAGTCCATGGTACCCTCAATACTCTTCTCCAACACCAAAGCTCAAAGGCATCAGTTCTCCTTCTATTCTCCCTAGTCATTGTCCAACTCTCTGATGCATAACAAATGATTGCAAAGACCATGGCCTGTATCAGACGCATCTTAGACTCCAGAGAGACACTGTTGCTCTTCAGTACTTTAGAGAGGTCCCTAACAGCAGACTTTTCCCATCACAATATGTCTTTTCATTTCCTGGATGCTCGTGCCAAGAGTGTTGATTGTGGCTTGCTCATAATAGCCAAATAAAATACATGTGAATGAGCTTAATAGTCCATCACTGCATTATATGATTCAATGGTAACTCTTTTTAAAGATTGCATTATATCCACATATTGGCCTTTTTAAAAAAACTCTGATATTCAACCCTTAAATCTATGCAAATCTAGAAAGATGCTGTTGTTGTTTGTGCTATGAGTCAGAGCCATCTCATAGTTTATCCTCCAGCAAATTTTCAAAGACTGTAAATTACATGAGAAGAGATTGCCCGTTTTTCTTCCTTATCAAAGCTGGTGGATTCGAACCATA